GCGGCACCCTGCCCACGCCCTGCCCGCTTCCATGCACCTTGCCCGCGTCCCGCTGCTACCCTGCACCCCGGCCAAGGGCGGCAGCTGCCTGCACCCATGCCCCGTGGCACCCTGCGCTGCCCTGCCTGGCCCTGCCTGCCTCTGTGTCTCCCTGCCTACGTGCTGCCGGCTTCCCCGGGGGCGGCCGGATCCCCACCTCAGCGGTGTCCTGACGCCTTCCCTGTGCTGCGCTCCACCTGCTCCCCCCTGTCCTGTGCCATGCTGCCGGCTGTCCCCACCCCGTCCTGCCGGGGGCTGACAGCTCCCCCTGTCCTGTCCCCACCGGCTCCCCCCTGTCCTACCCTGGGCTGCCGGCTCCCAGCATCCCCACCAGCACCCTGTGTCCTGCCCCATCCCCGCCAGCAACCCTCCATCCCATCCCACCCCACCCCATCGGGCTGCCGGGTGTCCGTGGGTGTCCGTGGGCTCTGATCTCCTCGTGCTGCAGGTCTGGGCCTGGCCTCCATGGTGATCGTCTTCTTCTGCAACTCCTACTACATCATGATCCTGGTGTGGGGTCTCTTCTACCTGGTGCACTCGCTGACGGACACCCTGCCCTGGGCCACCTGCGGCCACGCTTGGAACACGGAGCAGTGCGCCGAGCTCTTCCACCTCGAGCTCTGCCGCAATGGCAGCACCAACGCCAGCACCGGCACTGGGCCCTTCAACCTCAGCTGCGCCGACCTGGCCAACAAGCGCTCGCCCGTCATTGAGTTTTGGGAGTGAGTGTGGGGACTGAGGGGGTCTCGCCCGGGGCCGACGGGGTCGTGCCGGCGCTCAGCACGGCCCCGCTCTACAGGAACAAGGTGCTGCGGCTCTCAGGGGACCTCAGCGAGCCGGGGGAGATGAACTGGCAGATGATCCTCTGCTTGGTCACCACCTGGGTCATTGTCTACTTCTGCATCTGGAAGGGCGTCAAGTCGACCGGGAAGGTGACGCTGGCGGTGGGGGGGAACGCGTCGGGGCCACCAACACACGGGGACGGGACTGCGGCACACGGCACTGCCGGCTCCTGCTCTCTTGTGCCACAGCCCACGGAGGTGCAAGACCCCCTGTCCCGCATCTGTCTGGGAGATGCCACCAGCCGCCGGGGATGTGCCCGAGCCCTGGTCCTGCTGGGGCACCTGTGGCACACAATGGAGAGCCCTAGCCCAGGGGGTCTCACCGACACCTACTCCTCTGCAGATTGTCTACTTCACGGCACTCTTCCCCTACGTGGTCCTCATCCTGCTGCTGGTCCACGGAGTGACGCTGCCCGGGGCGCTGGGTGGCATCGTCTACTACCTGAAACCCGACTGGTCCAAGCTGGCCGAGGCGCAGGTGAGGGCAGCGGGGAGGGCAGGAGGGGGCTGGGTGCTGGGCACCCCCCCAGCACCCTCCCCGCCCCCCGACGCCCTCCCTCGCGCCTCAGGTCTGGATCGACGCCGGCACCCAGATCTTCTTCTCCTATGCCATCGGGCTGGGCGCCCTGACCGCGCTGGGCAGCTACAACCGCTTCCACAATAACTGCTATAGGTAGGGCTGTGCCGGCTGCAGGGCGTTCCCCTGGTGTGTCCCCCGGTGTCGCTCCGGCACCCCCTTGACCCACTCTGCCCTCAGGGATGCCTACATCCTGGCCGTGATCAACAGCTCCACCAGCTTCTTTGCCGGCTTCGTCGTCTTCTCCGTGCTGGGCTTCATGGCCTCCGAGCAAGGCGTGGACATCTCCAAGGTGGCTGAGTCCGGTGAGTGCCAGGCAGTGGGTGCCCACTGGCACCGTGTCCCCTGAGTCGTCCCCCCCCCGGGGTGGCACTGCTGACCCCGTTCTCCCGCAGGCCCTGGGCTGGCTTTCATCGCCTACCCCAAAGCCGTGACGCTGATGCCCTTGTCCCCGCTCTGGGCCACGCTCTTCTTCTTCATGCTCCTCGTGCTGGGGCTGGACAGCCAGGTGCAGCAGCGGGCAGGGGGACAAGGGACGGGGAGGGGACGGGGTGGCATGTCCCCGCTGAGCCCCACTCTCTGCCACAGTTTGTCGGTGTGGAGGGTTTCATCACGGGCATCCTGGACCTGTTCCCCCAGCCGGGGGCTGGCTCGCTGCGCCGTGAGCTCACCGCTGCGCTCTGCTGCCTCGTCTGCTGCCTCATCGACCTCTCCATGGTCACGCAGGTGGGGGACGCGGCAGGGACACCGGCCAGCTGGCCCCATGCTGGGCACCTGCGGCTGCCCCCCGGGACATCACCTCCCACGGGGTCCCAGCGTGGGGTGGGAGCTCCCTGGGGCTGCTGCACCCACGGCAGCGGGGAGGGGGGTGCCCGTGGCCACGGTGGGTGCCCATCGTGGTGGGGGTGCTGCGGCAGCACAGGGTGCCCGTGGCATGCAGGGTGTCTGTGCCAGGTGGGGCACCGGTGCTGGCAAGGCTGCGCCCGTGCCGGTGTGGAGGCACCCGTGCCAGCGCGGGGCAGCTGGCACAGCCCCGGTGACGCGCAGCGCCGTCCCGGCAGGGCGGCATGTACGTGTTCCAGCTCTTTGACAACTACTCGGCCAGCGGGATCACGCTGTTGTGGCAGGCTTTCTGGGAGTGTGTGGTCATTGCCTGGGTCTACGGTGAGGCCAGGGGGACGCGGTGGGGGGGGACACAAGGGGACACGGGTGCCCCATGGGGCTCGGCTGACGCCCTTCTCCCCTCAGGCGCTGACCGCTTCATGGACGACGTGGCCCGCATGATCGGCTACCGGCCCCTGCCCTTCATGAAGTGGTGCTGGGCCGTGGTGACGCCGCTGGTCTGTGTGGTAAGCGGGGCCGCCCCACGCGGGGACACGCGTGTGCTCGCGTGTGCATGCATGTGCCCGCTGCCCCGGCCCTGTGCCACGGGCACCGGGCTCCCCCAGGCGGCTGCTTTGGGCACGGCAGCCACGGGGCGACACGCGTGTCGGGGCCATGGGATGACACGCGTGTCAGGCCATGAGGCGACACGCATGTCGGGCCGTGGGGTGATGTGCCTGTCGGGGCCACAGGATGACATGCGTGTCTGGGTCATGGGGTGACACGTGTGTTGGGGCCGTGAGGCAACATGCGTGTCGGGGCTGCGGGGTGACATGCGTGAGGGGTCTGGGGCTGCCAGCCCCCTGCGCCGTGGGACCTCACCCCCCTCTCTCCACCCAGGGCATCTTTGTGTTCCATGTGGTGAACTACAAGCCGCTGACCTACAACAAGACGTACGTGTACCCGTGGTGGGGGGATGCCATCGGCTGGGTCCTGGCACTCTCCTCCATGCTCTGCATCCCCTGCACCGTCCTCTACAAGCTCCTGCGCTGCAAAGGCTCCTTGCGCGAGGTGAGGGCAGCGTGGTGGGCGCCCTCCTGCCTCTGTCCCCAATGTGTCTCAGCTATCCTTGTCCTTGTCCCCCTCTCAGTCCCGTCCTCATCCCATCCCCATTCAAATCCCAGCACTGTCCACATTGCCATCTTAGTCCCATCCCCAGCCAAATCTGTCCCTGTCCCCATCACTGTCTCAATCACATCCCCATCTCATCCCAGTCCCCATGCAATCCCTATCCCTCTCTCAATCCTATTTCAAATCCCTTCCCCATCCTAGTCTCATCCCCATGCCCATCGAAGTCCCATTCCTGTCCCCATCCCTCTTAATCCCGTTTCAAATCCCTTCCCCATGCCAGTCTTAGCCCCATCCCCATCCAAGTCCCATTCCTGTCCCCATCCCTCTCACTCCCATCCGAATCCCATGCCTGTCCCCATCACTGTCTCACTCCCAACCTCACCCAAATTCCATGCTTGCTGACATTGCTGTCTTAATCCCGTCACCATCTCGGTCCCATCCCTGTCCCCATGCTATCGCTCTCTCAATCCCATTTCAATCCCTTCCCTGTCCCGGTCTCCATCCCTGTCCCCATCCAAATCCC